GTTAAATCATTCTTTATGACACAACCCTATACATCATTCACATATTACTTCAAACATGCATACATTGACCTTCGTACATTCATCATCATTAACATCATTTAGGATTGTGTCTTAGAAAGCTCTTCATCATAATACATCATGACATTTCGTACATGCACATCATCTTAACATAAAATATCATCATGTTATCGTGCATCATCGTCATCCTATCTTCATCATCATCATCATCATCATCATCATCATCATGTCATCATGTCATCATATCATATAACATCATCATATTACCATCATCATCATATCATCATATAGTACCATCATAATATAACGTCATCATAATATAACATTACATCATACTAGCTCACATCATCATCATATCATATTATATTAGCATAAATGACACGTTCAAGGGGCACTGGGCATGTGTCATCATACATAAGGCAAGTCTTTCGATCGAGCCGATAGTAAGACCACTTACATGGATGACTTTAGCAAACGTTTTTCCTAAACTCTACACTAGAATTTTGTCCCTCAAATTGTTCCCAAGTATTGTTGAGGTGTTTCCTATTGGGAGGGTAAAAAACATGGAGAGATGTCAAAAATATCAACCCGAGCCGAATACATTGTTTTTTAGCCTAGGAGTCCCACAAAGTCGAGCCGAAGAAGTCGGTGACTGCAGACGAGACACGTGACAGTAAGGGGAGTTGACGCGCATACAGGTCACAAGTCGGGTCGAGGCACGGACTTTGGGTCGATTTTCACGGGTGTGCGAGTCGCGACGTTGAGCGTGGTTTTGGGCCGTGTACATTGTTGTCAGGCCGAGGCTGTTGTAGGTGTCTGGGCCAAATGAGAGGATGGGTCGTGTGTTAGCGGGTTTGATTCGTGGAGGATTCAGGTTACTGGCCTGCATTGAAAACTGGGTTGCAAGTGTCTATCTGATCCGTATCCAGATCCGATGGACCTCGTATTCCTCACTCGGGAGTTACGCAATTTTCTTTGCAAACTAGTTTTTTTTCTATTTTATTTGAATTTTCATAACTTTCTCTACACAACTCAAATTATCTAAGTTTCTTGACGAAACTTGTAGACTTTTAATGGGTCATTACTAAGATATTTTTCTCATAATTTTTAGTTAGTCACAATAGAGTTCTAAAGAGGGTCAAAAACTAAAAATTCAGAATTTAATTCCAACCTGAATCAACAAAGGCTTCCTTCATAAAGCTGGTGCAAAATTCCTCCAATATCAACATATTAAAAATTCAGAATTTAATTCCAAGAAAAGAGGAAACGCAAAATCAAGAGCATAAAATGCTTACCTTTGGTTCTTCTTCTTTGATTCTTGAAGTACTTACTTCAACCAGCCGTTTGAAGTGGATTTCAACTCTCCCTCAATAACCCCAAACCCCCATTTTCTTTCTCTCTTTTCCTTTTCTTTCTTTATTTCTTTTTATCACATAGCTGGTTCGAGTACTAAAACTCATAGAGTTAAGTAGGGGCTATTTGGGTGTAGATGATCCTTGTGTAAGTATCTGTATTTATCTAGACTGCATTTATCTAGATTAGCTCCCGTAGTGTGTTATTATCGTGCCCCAATTTTCAAGGCTTCAAAACTCGGACCTTGATCAAAAAGACGAAAACTAGAACAAACAACAATAAAAGAAAGAAGAGTAGAATAAAAAAATTCCCTTAAAATTTAAAATAAGAAAAAGAAGTCAACAACGCCAAAATTTAATAAAAGATTAAATTCAAATTTAAGACGATGTTGAATAAGAAATACAAATATAAAACAAAATACAAAAGACTCTAAATGTGAAAATAGACTGACGCTTTGAAACGACACCCCTCCGTGGCAGTGCAGCTCCCGAACACCTCCCCACCTCGACCGATACTTGAAAAAGAAAGAGAGAACGGGGTGAGTATAAAGTTATATTTAGTAAGCAACCTATTTGTAGTATCTCATTGCTTCCTTCTCCTAGTAGATTCCCACGACTTTTCTTTGGTCTATACGAAGTTCCAATTGATTCCTAATTGATCATCTACCCATGTAGTCCCTAGTCCCTTGTCAAGACTAGTTTACAACGTGGCGACGTCGACCTTGACCCGTTTCTGCACTAAATAGAAGTTGTTCATGCTAAACCATCTACCCACGTAGTCTCTGATCTCTTCCAAGACCAATTTACGAAGTTGCATCGTCAACATTTACTCGTTCCTAAGGCTACTGTGCTATCACGTGACCCCTTTCGACCTCATCATCGTATTGAAACTCTATAACTCAGATCCAACATCGAAACTCTATAACTCAAATCCAACATCGACATAAAGAGTAAACGTTCACTATTTAACGCTCTAACACGTAATCATAAGTACCACGTAATCCAATACAAACATCAAATTGTTAGAGGTCTTACAACATATTATAAACTACTAAGTAGTGTAACACTACATACGTGGTCAAGGTGAGGCGTGTTGTTGATCTGATTCTCTGAGGTGTACGACTCTCTATCCTAGTTAAAAGTCTACCTAACTTAAAATTTGACTTTTGTAAAACCAATTTGTCATGACCCAATTTTTTAGTCTGCGAATCTCAAACCGTGACTAAAGAGACAAAGACGAAATCAAATAAAAATAAAATATAAGATGAAAGTTGATAAAATTTAAATCAAAATAAAAATAAACAAGCAACATCAAGATTAAATACAATTACAAAAGGAAATAGAAAAACTCTAATACTAATGACCCAATTTTTACCACTAAAACACTAAAACAAAATCACCGCTACAATCACATGCCAAAAATGTGTGAACATTCATTTATTAATATTTACACGGAAAGGATGTCATGGATTTAAACCTTCACAAATTCATTTCGAATAAAAAGTAAATACCAATAGAATAGTGAAATTTAATTTAAAGGCTAAAAATAAAATGAAAATGCAACTATACTGACCTAACTAATATAGTAGCATTAACATAATATAACACCTGTTAAGCAATAATAAAACATGATATGTGTAAGAGTGATAGGCACATGTCATTCATAAAACATATAAGTCATCCAACGAAACAAACTATAACCACTGACTTGATTGACCTAAACCGTTATTGCTAGCTTAAAATTGCTCATTGAAATATAATTCCACTCGGTGGACAACTCATCTAATTGCATAAAATAATATAAACTTAACTCAAAATAATTTGAATTGGATAGCCATACTGACCTCCATAAATGTCAGAAACGGCCTCAAAGAGTCTAGAATTATAGGAAAGATTATATGAATGTATCAAAACAAAGTCGGTTTAGACGAGAAATCGAACTCGAGCCGTTAGAATATGAATTTTCTGGTTGGCTCCAAATTGCCAAACTGAGATGAAACAGAGTGGTGGTTGTGACTCTGTATACTTAGGAATCTCCATTTTATATTGGGTCCAACTTCTTACTTTCTCCATCTAAATTTAGACAACTTTTTAAAATTGTAATTATTAATTTTTTTTCTTCTAATTTTTGGTTTTTGCAAATACAAATGGAAAATGTGAGCTACAGTATAATTTTCATAATTTAATTTTGATGAGGAATTCAATTAAGTTAAGTTATTGATGTAAATATCTAATATTTTATGATACAAATTATATTGTTTATATAATTCACTTCCAATTAGTCTTCGAGTATTACATCACATTACAGATAAGGAACGCGAGTCTCAAAACTCCAATTTATGCTTCTAAACACTAACGCCAAAACTAAAGCTATGTGAAAGAATATGAAATAGTTGATTTTAAAAAAAACGTGAAAACAATTATTTTAAATGTATAATAACTGTTATTAATAATACTACTATTATTAATATATACAAATATGTACGATCATATTTGACGATTTTGTAGCAGGTATATTGCACTTAAATAACTTATACATATAGTTAGAAGAGCCTTAAATTATTACATTATGACCTAAAAGTTGCCCTATAAACATGTGCAAAAAGTTGCGAAGCCTTCTCAACTAAAGCAAGCACATTCCTAGCTAAACATTAAAAATTAGGTGTTGTTTCAAGTTATTTACAAAAGGGAACAAGAGTAGGGTACAGATGAATAACAATGACAACCCACAAACTACAAATAGGGTAGACACCCTCTATGGCAGCATAGTTTTCAAGCACGTCCCTACCTCCACTGTATCGGAACAAAAAGCACCCTCTATGGCAGCATAGTTTTCAAGCACGTCCCTACCTCCACTGTATCGGAACAAAAAGCATATAGACAGGTCTTAAAATCTCGATTTAGGCGGCATTTTGATAATTATTCATAACATGCCTAACTTACTCAACTAAATTGTCTTACTTGAGTTCTAACAAGCATATTTCCTTCATAGCTCAGCCGAAAGCATGAAAAACAACATGCATCTCTTAATTCCAAACTAAGGGTATTTTCGTAATTTTTCATAACATGCATCGTATTCTTATTTTGATTTTCCCATTTAAGTGTTAACCATGCATATTCTAATCACCTAACGTAAAATATGCTCACACATTAGTACATCCTAGTGATCCCTATAAGTATTCCTTGCATCAAATTCATGTGACTACTTATCGAGACGAAGCATACCCTCCCTAACATATATTTCTGCCTATTGAAATGTCCAAATTTTACGAAAACTCGCTAATAGATCCTGAGTTAAGGTCAGTAATAATAACAGTGGTAATAATGTATAATACATAGTGATTATTATGCTTATTAATAATAATAACAATAATAATAATAATAATATTACCATATGTGTATGCATTTATCTATTTTTTGGTAATGAAAGATAATATTGGACGATTTTGAAGCAGGTGTATTGCACTTAAATAGGCTATACATTTAGTTGGAAGAGCCTTAAGTTTTTACATTCAGACTTAAAAGTTGCACTATAAATACATGTGCAAAAGGTGGTGTTTAAGTCTGCACTATAAATACATGTGCAAGAGGTGGTGGTGAAGCCCCCTCAACTAGAGCAGCCCCACTCTAATGGATGCATCAAAAGAACCAAAGAGTATTGTGAAGCCTCCAATGTCATTTGGGAAGAAAAAATGGACCAAGATTGACAAAAAAGTGGCGTTCACGTTTTTCTTTTTGCATTTTCTTTGCATTTTTGCACCATTTCAAATTAATTGGAGTGCAATTTCGATTTCTTTTACGTTATATATTATCATAGGTCTCTTTGGCATCACTATTTCGTATCATCGGAATCTTTCACACAAAAGTTTCAAAATTCCCAAATGGTTGGAATACTTGTTTGCTTACTGTGGAGTTCATGCATTTCAGGTTTGACATTTGACACACTCCATTCTTTTGCTGTTACACCATATCAAGATATGTGTTGTCTTTTAATGTTTCATATAATTTTAGGGTGATCCAATCAATTGGGTGAGCACGCATAGATATCATCATCAATTTGTTGATACGGAAAAAGATCCACACAGTCCGATAAAAGGATTTTGGTCTAGCCATATTATTTGGCTTCTTTACAAGGGGGATGGAAGCTTAAGTGAAATGCTTGGAAGGCATCGAAAATGGGATAATGCTTGTGATTTGGAGAACCAAACTTTCTATAGGTTTATTCACAAAACATATTTTCTTCATCCAATTGCTCTTGCACTCATACTCTATGGTATTGGAGGCTTTCCTTACTTCATTTGGGGAATGGTAAAAGAACTTACATCCATTGTCATTTGCTTAATTCCTTGGTTACATATGATAAATATGAGATGATTTTCAACCTTTTTAAAAAAATAAATAAAGTAGATATTAGTTATTATTAGATGACCTACAAAATGTGACAAATTCTTCCTTTTGCATGATAGTGTGTGAGAAGCGTAATATTTTTACACGGAACATTCATGGTGAATTCAGTATGTCATATATGGGGAAAGCAACAATGGAAAACAAATGATTTATCGAGAAACAACTGGTATGTATCATTGTTATTGTTTACCAATTCAATTTACTGTCTCATTTCTTTGTTCATTATTATAATTTTTTTTTTAGTTTAACTACGACGAGAATCGAAGATTGAACGAGTGACTTTAAAAAAAAAATGATTAATATCTTATGATCCCTATCAAAATTGCTAATTTATTTTACCAACTTACCTATTTACATGACTTTACATAACTTTTAATGTAAAACATATTTAAATTAATACCTTGTTCCATCATTTTTTTTATTGTTGAAATAAAAATGTGATCATCTATCTAATAATTATCAATAAACTGTGTAGTCTTGTAATGATTCAATGAATAAAAACAATAATACTACAATATTGGTTCATTTTTTTTAATTAAAATATCATTTTAGTTGGTGTATTTTGAAACTTGTTAGTACATTCAAATTTTTATAGTCTTTGTACTTTTTTAATAAAATTTAAAAACAGTGAATTTATTTATTTTTACCTTCTCGAAATTAAAAAAAAAAAAATGGTCTCCATTAATTTAAATTTCTAAATTTAATGTTTTTATTTTCAATAATTCATATCTTATTTTTTCTAAACAAAAAATGATCTACATTATTATTATTATTTATTTTTTTATTTTTTTTTATTTTAATTCATAGGTGGATAAGTCTTCTTGTATTTGGAGAAGGTTGGCACAATAACCACCATGCTTTCGAGTACTCAGCTAGGTTGGGCATTGAATGGTGGCAATATGACCCTGGTTGGTATGTCATTAGGTTTCTTGAAGCCATTGGAGTGGCCACTCATGTCAAATTACCATCCCAAAGGCATATGCAAAAGTTGGCCGAAGATTAACTAAAAGAAGCATTTCTTTAGGTGATGTTTTATATAAAAATAAATATGCTTCTAAAAATAATGTTTCAGAATGTGAAATAAAAGAAATGCCAATGCATGTTAGTTGCTACAATTATAAAAAAAATTATGCATAAATTGACCTTGGATGTTTGTATGTTTAATTATGTGTTCCTATTATAGTTATGTAAACGACTCTAGATTTTTATTAATCTAAAGTCATTATTGTCATCATCATCTATATTCTTACACGGAGTTAAACGTTTAAAACTTCCTCTTAAAACATTGTCCTAGATTTACATGTTCGAAGACATCTTAAAACAACGTAAAGAAATAATAAATAAACTAATAAAACACTAAAAGTAAAAACGCCCCATACTATCCCAAGTTTAAGAAAATAAAATACTATTATCTTATGCACGTGTCATAGTCTCTTCTTGCAATGTTGCCATCAGCCGTATAGGGATGTCTTGCATTTACGTGAAATAGAAATAGCACACCGCTTGAATATTTTAAGAAATGCTCAATAAGTGATCCCACGGTTGGGGTCAGGGAATGCAAGCACATGCAACTCATGATCTAGGGACCTATCGTTAAAACAATCATAAAGGTGGTCTCCCGTCTGAACAAAATTTGATGTATAGTACTTCCCTAGACACGACCCACACGTGTGAGCGTGGATCTCCAGGCGGTTCGCACCTCCTAGACCCATCATAGTCGTGCTAACTATTCGTAGTGACATCTAGAGGCCAGCAGACCCCTGAGTGTCATGTCATGCATGATGATGATCAATATCCTAGTGTACCTAGTGTACGCATCTAACATATGTTAGCAATCCCTTGCTCCGATTCCTGCTCACTCGGTGCTCCAAATCTCAAAAAAATTTACAAATTAGTCCTAATTAGAGTCACAGTATAATTAGATAGCATCAAAAACTTCAACAAAAATTTGTGCACCATATTTTTTTCTTTTCAAGTTCTACGATGTGAGTTCATTCTTCTATGAACGTGCTTCCATATGAATGTCAAACCGTTTTTTTTAGAAATTCAAGATTTCCTTCTTTTTCATGAAATTCTTACAATTTTCGTATCCTTTTCTATAGAACTCTAGAATTCAACCAAATTTAATTTTATTCAATTTTGTTAACTATAGAAGCGTTTCTTGAATTTGTACTTTGTGTACCCTAATTAAAAGTGGATCTTCCAAGCATTTTCTTTCCCCAGCTTTCTTCGCAATATCTATTCAAAATAATCTGCTAAATTAGAATAAAAAAAATTTAGATCAAAACAAAATTGATATTCTTAAACCCATAAATCATACCTATGGTTCTTACTTTATTCTTGACCGATTCTCGCAATTGAAAGCCCAAATCAGCACAGAGTAACGTTTTGAGAAGCTTTTGTGAAGGATGTTCAGCCAAAAAAATGGCTCTAAGTTAACGGATATGAATATGGAGATTGATTATTCTTAATGGACGCTACGAGTTAGCTATTTTCTAAGCCATAAATGATATTACCAATTTGAAACTCACTAACATTAAAACTAAGGGGCCATAGGTTGGGTGGCGTTGGGTAAAATATTCAAACCCAACTCCTTAGATTGGTCCACCCACATGTTTGCTCTCCATTTAATAACTAATTACCTCAGATACCAGCTAGAAGTCGAATGGCAATTATTATTATTATTATTATTGAAGTTGGTATATTACACTTAAATAACCTATACATTTATTTGGTTGGAAGAGCCTTATATTATTACATTGTGACTGAAAAGTTGCACTATAAATGCATATGCAAAGGGTGGTGAAGCCTCCTCAATTAAAGGAATCCCACTCTAATGGATGCATCAACATAACAAAATAGAGTTGTGAAGCCGATGTCATTTCCAAAAATAAAACGGCTTTTGTATGTTTTTTATACATTTTTTCTGTATTTTGATGAATAACTCTTCTTTCGAGATTTAGATGATGCAGACCAATCGAGGGCGAGACCGGCAGGCTAGAGACTACATAGAATCTATGTCTGGGTCTGTTTTGTGTATTTATGCTTTCGCTGTTTAAAATTTACATTGTTGTTTAAGTTTTAAATGATAGTGATTTTAAATGTTTTATTGGGTGTAAATGGAAATATTTTGAAATTTATGATTGGTTGTCAGAATTTATTAATGACGTCAGTAGTAGCTCCTGTGAATCGCATTATCGTTGAGCGGGTGTTATAGTGATGACGTTATATGATTATATTAAATGATGATGTGATGATATTATATAATAATGTGATGTTGTCATATGATGTACATGATGTTGACATGATGATGATGATGCATGATAACAAGATAATGTGAGATGTATGATGATGAAATGACTTAATATGATGATGTTCCATATTAAGATGATGTACATGTATTAAATGTCACGATGCATTATCATGACGAGTTTTCAAAGACACGACCCTAGTTAATGTTAATGATGGTGAATGTATGAAGGCCAATGTGTTCATGTTACTTCGAGTAATGTGTGAACGATGTATAAGTTTGTGTCATAAAAATGATTTAAAGATATAGGCACCTCATGCATTTTGTGTGTTCATATACATCGGGATACTTCCCGATTTATGATGATGAGTACGGATGTGTACACTATGATTATAATAATCATCATGCCTCACATGACACTCGAGGGCTGCTGACCTCTGGACATCGTATGGACAGCTAGCTTGACTATGATTGGTCCAAGAGGTGCGAATCGCCTGGAGACCCACGCTTGCACGTGTGGATCATGTGTAGAGAAGTTCTACACATCCAATTTTATCCGGACGGGAGGCCATCCCTATGGTGGTTTTTATCATAGATCCCTAATCATGATTTAAATGTGTTTGTATTCTCTGACCCCAAGCCGTGTGCTACTTCTATTTGAGGCAAAGACAAGACACTCTTGTACCACTGACGACGACATTGCAAGTAGAGACCATGACACGTGCATAAAATAGTTGTATTTTATTTTCTTAGTCTTAAGTTAGTATATGTTGTTTTTTACTTTTAATGTTTTACTTTTTTTTAGTTAGTATTTCTTTATATTGTTTTAAAGATTCTTTTGAACATGTAATTTCATGACAATGTTTTATAATGAAGTTTAAAGGTTTAATTCGGCATAAAAATATAAGTTATGATAACGATAACGACTTTAGACTAGTAAAAATCTAGGATGGTTACATTTGAATAGTGTGCATTGTTGACTAATTTTAAATGTATGATAAATTATGATTATTATTGATATTAATAATATTACTATTATTATTATTATTATATATAGCTATGCACTTATCCATCTTTTCATGATCAATATTAAATTTGTAGTTGGTATATTGCATTTAAATAATGTATACATTTGGTTGGAAGAGCCTTAAATTATTACATTGCGATTTAAAAGGTGCACTATAAATGCACATGCATGCAAGGGGTGGTGGTGAAGCCTCCTCAACTAAAGCAATCCCACTCCAATGGATGCGTCAAGAGAACAAAATATAATTGTGAAGCCAAAGTCATTTTGGAAGAGAAAATGGCCCAAGATAAAGAAAAAATTTATTTTTGTTAGTTTCTTTATACATTTTTCCTGTCTTTTCGCACCCTTTCAAATCAATTTAGGTGCTATTTCGATTTGTTTTGTTTTATATATTATCACAGGTCTCTTTGGCATCACTATTTCATATCACCGAAATCTTACACATAAGACTTTCAAACTTCCCAAATGGCTCGAATACTTGCTTGCTTACTGCGGACTTCATGCCCTTCAGGTTTAATAATTGACAAACTTTATTCTTCTAATATTATAACTCTCAAATTAGTTATCTGATTAGTTTTAAACTATATCAAAATGTTTCTTCATAGGGTGATCCAATTTATTGGGTGAGCATACATAGATATCATCATCAATATGTTGATACTCCAACAGATCCACATAGCCCGATTAAAGGATTTTGGTTTAGTCATGTTACTTGGTATCTTCAGAAGAGGAATCAAAGCGTTAGTGAAATGATTCCAAGGCATCGAAAATGGGAAAATGTTACAGATTTGGAGAAGCAAACATTCTATAGGTTTCTTCACAAAACATATTTACTTCATCCAATTACTCTTGCAGCCATACTTTATAGCATTGGAGGCGCTCCTTTCTTCATTTGGGGAATGGTAACAAACAGAACACCTCTATCTTCATTTGTTTATTTCCTTTAAGTTACGATTTTATATGTTATGATAATTCGATAAATAACTTTACAAAATGATTTCAATTTCCGGTTATTTTACTTATTATATTTGATTTTTGGTAATTAAATGTGTTTATAACCCAATAAACTTAAATATTACATAGTTTAGAAGCTAAGATACCTGATATATATATATATATATATATATGATGTGAATTTTTTTTTTTTGATAATGTTATTATTAGAAATACAGACTATAAAATATGATATATTATTCATTTTGTTTGACAGTGTGTGAGAATCGTAATTGTTTTACATGCAACATTCTTAGTGAATTCAGTATGTCATATGTGGGGAAAGCAACCATGGAAAACAAACGACTTATCTAGAAACAATGGGTAGGTGCTATCTTGTGTCCATCTTTGTTACAATATTCAAATAATCAAATTAATTATTGCATGAGCATTTATACTGAATAAGAACGAAAGATTGAATCATCAACTTTTAAGATGGTGATTCGTATCCTATTGATTAAGTTATATGAAACTTTTAACTACGTATCAAAATTACTAACATATTGTATCAACTTATCAATTTAAATAACGTTTAACCCAAAACATGCAATATAATTATTATTAATTTTAGTACTCTAATACATCAAACTTTTTAAACAAAGTTAGAGCCACTAAATTTAAATTTTATTTAAAAGTATTTACAAGTACCGGTACAAATTTGGACAATTGAAAATAAGAAAAATTAAACTCAATGTTAAATTGAACATGATTATTTTTATGGATATATAACAATACTATTAAATAATTATTGACGTTTATATTTATTAAGTAATCAATGTTTATATTAATAATAGAGTTATATGTTTCTTGTTTATTAAAACTTTTGTGGGTTTTATTTTCCATAGGTGGATAAGTTTGCTTGCATTTGGAGAAGGTTGGCACAATAACCACCATGCCTTTGAATATTCAGCGAGGTTGGGCATTGAATGGTGGCAATATGATCCCGGTTGGTATGTTATTAGGTTTCTTGAAGCCATTGGAGTGGCTACTCATGTCAAATTGCCATCTCAAACCCATATGCAAAAGTTGGCCAATGATTAACTAAGAGAACCCTTTCTTTAAGTGATGTATTACATGGAAATAATTATGCTTCTAAAAATAATGTGGAATAATGTGAAATAAAAGAAATGCCAATGCATGTTAGTTGCTACAATTATAATAAAATTTTATGCATAAATTTACATTATGACCTTGGATGTTTATATTAGGTAACGACCATAGATTTCTATTAACCTAAAGTTGTTACTGTATCATTATCTATACTCTTACGCGGAGTTAAACGTTTAAAACTTCATCTTAAAATACTATCATAGACTTACATGTTCGAAAACATCTTAAAATAATGTAAAGAAATAATAAATAAAACAATTAAAACACTAAAAGTAAAAACGCCCTCTACTATCCCAAGTCTAAGAAAATAAGATACTATTATCCTATGCACATGTCATAGTTTCTTCTTGCAATATTGCTATCAGTCGTATATGGATGTCTTGCATTTACCTAAAATAGAAGTAGTACACGACTTGAATATTTTAAGAAATATTCAGTAAGTGACCCACTGTTGGGGTTAGGGAATGCAAACAGGGAATGCAAACACATGCAACTCGTGATCTAGGGACCTATCGTTAAAACAATCATAAAGGTAGCCTCCAGTCCAAGCAAAATTGGATGTATAGTACTTCCCTATACACGATCCACACGTGCGAGCGTGGATCCTCAAACGATTCACACCCCCTAGACCCATCATAGTCGTGCTAACTGTTCGTAGCGACGTCCAGAAGTTAGCAGACCCTTGAATGTCATGCGAGGCATGATGATGATCAACATCATAGCGTACGTGTCTAGCATATATTAGCAATCCCTTACTCCTGTCCTGCTCACCCGATGCTCCAAATCTCAAAAAAGTTTACAAATTAGTCCTAATTCAAGTCACAGTATAATTATAATTGGCATAGCATCAAAAACATCAACAAAAATTGAACGTGTGCACCATATTTTTTTCTTTTGAATTTTCAAGTTCTATAATGTGAGTTCATTCTCCTGTGAACGTGGTTCCATATGAATGTCAAAATAGTTTTTTTTTTTAGAAATTCAAGATTTCCTTCTTTTTCATGAAATTTTCGTTTTCAATAGAACTCTAGAATCCAACCAAATTTCATTTTATTCGATTTTGTTAACTATAGAAAAAAGATAAATACATTCAAAACAAGCGTTTACTTTTGGACCTTAATTAAACGTGGATCTTCCAAGCATTTTCTTTCCCTAGCTTTCTTCACAATATCTATTCAAAATAATCTGCTAAATTAGAAAAAAAAATTCTTAGACCCAAATAAAATTGGTATTCTTAAACCCATAAATCATACCTATAGTTCTTACTTTATTCTTGACCGATTCTCGAAATTGAAAGCCCAAATCAGCACAGAGTAACGTCTTGAAAAGCTTTTATGAGGATGATCAGCCAAAAAAATGGCTCTAAGTTAACGGATATGGATATGGAGATTGATTATTCTTCATGGACGCTATGAGTTAGCTATTTTATAAGCCATAAATGATATTACCAATTTGAAACTCACTAACATTAAAACTAAGGGGCCATAGGTTGGGTGGCGTTGGGTAAAATATTCAAACCCAACTCCTTAGATTGCTCCACCAACATGTTAGCTCTCCATTTAATAACTAATTCCCTCGTAAGTTAGAACTCGAATGACAATTCCAGCTAAAGAATCGAAATCCACGATATTAATGAATTTTGAGTTAACTCAACAAAGATCGAACTCAACTTATGCAGGCGGTGATTTTGATTTATTTATAAGAAGAACGGTTCCTTCTTTGTTTCTTGTTTCCTCTGTCTCTCCAAAATTTTAAAGATGGTTAGGAAGAAGTCCCACGTTAGCTAATTCTAGAAATGACCATGAGTTTATAAGTAAGAAAGGAGAACTTTAGTTAATTTTGGAAACTTCTAATGGAATGGAATGAGTTTATAAGTAAGAAAGGAGAACTTTAACTAATTTTGGGAACTTGTAATGGAATGGAAGAACCCAAATTCAGACTTGTTAACTCAGTATTTGACTTCTTAAACACCGACTTGAGCCGTCCACCAACTTAGCACCCCAAACACTATAATATAGTTGTTTTTTAAAAAAAAAAAAAGTGAAAATAATTAGTTTAAATGTATAATAAATTGATTATTATTGTTGTTATTATATATAGCTATGTATTTATCCATGATATTTGACGATTTTGAAGGAGGTATATTGCACTTAAATAAGCTATACATTTAGTTGGAAGAGCCTTAAATTTTTACATTGTGACTTAAAAGTTGCACTATAAATACATATGCATGCAAGAGGTGGTGGTGAAGCCTCCTCAACTAGAGCAACCCCACTCTAATGGATGCTTCAAAAGAACCAAAGAGTATTGTGAAGCCTCCAATGTCATTTGAGAAGAAAAAATGGACCGAAATAGACAAAAAAGTGGGGTTTGCATTTTTCCTTTGGCATTTTCTTTACATTTTTGCACCCTTTCAAATTGACGAAGGTGCACTCTCGATCTGTTTTATCTTATTTATAATTACAGGTCTTTTTGGTATCACTATTTCGTATCATCGAAATCTTTCACATAAAAGTTTCAAAATTCCCAAATGTCTTGAATACTTGTTTGCTTACTGTGGAGTTCATGCATTTCAGGTTTGACATTTGACACATTTTATTCTTTTTCTTTTACTATTACAAATTGCTTCTAAAGCATATTAAGATAGGCTTGTTTTAACATTTTTAATTTTTTTTTCATAATTTTAAGGTGATCCAATCAATTGGATGAGAACGTATAGATATCATCATCAATTTGTTGATACTCAAAAAAACCCACATAGTCCGATAAAAGAATTTTGGTCTAGCTATATTATTTGGCTTCTTTACAACGGGGATGGAGGCTTAAGTGAAATGCTTGGAAGGCATCGAAAATTGGATAATGCATGTGATTTGGAGAACCAAACTTTCTATAGATTTATTCACAAAACATATTTTCTTCATCCAATTGCTCTTGCACTCATACTCTGGCATTGGAGGCTTTCCTTACTTCATTTGGGGAATGGTAAAAAAAACTTACCTCTATGGTCTCAATTCTTTAGTTACATATCATAAATATGAGATATGATTTTTAGGATGTAGTTATCGTTAGAAAGATGAGCTAAAAAATGTGACAAATTATTCTTTTTGTATGACAGTGCGTGAGAACCGTAATGTTTTTACACGGAACATTCATGGTAAATTCAGTATGTCATATATGGGGAAAGAAACAATGGAAACAAATGATTTATCAAGAAACATCTGGTAAGTATCATTGTTGTTGTTTACCAATTCAATTTATTGTATGATTTCTTTGTTCATCATTGTAACTTTTTTTTTTATTTTTGAGTTCACTACAACAAGAATTGAAAATTGAACGAGTGACTTTTAAAAATGATAATTAATATCTTGTCTACGAAATTATGATCCATTTCAAAATGACTAATTTATTTTACCAACTTACCTATTTACATGACTTTACATAACTTTTAATGTAAAACATATTTAAATTAATACCTTGTTCCATCATTTTTTTTATTGTTGAAATAAAAATGTGATCATCTATCTAATAATTATCAATAAACTGTAGTCTTGTAATGATTCAATGAATAAAAAAATAATACTGCAATATTAATATCATTTTTGTTGGTAATTTTGAGACTTGTTCGTACATTCAAATTTCTATGGGTACTTTTTTAATAAATTTTAAAAACAGTGATTTTTTTTTTTTACCTTCTCGAAATTTTTTTAAAAAAACGGTCTCCATTAATTTAAATTTCTAAATTTAATGTTTGTATTTTCAATAATTCATATCTTATTTTGGTCAAATTGCCATCTCCCAAGCCTTATGCAGAAGTTGGCCAAAGATTGACTAAAAGGAACCTCTCTTTCAGTTATGTTTTACATGGAAATAATTATGCTTCAGGTTTCAAACGTAACCGCCTTCCATTTTTACTAATCTAAAATTGTTACCGTCTCATTATATCATCTCTTATGTAAAAATAAACATTTAAAACATCTTCATGAAACAATGTCATGGATCTACATGTTTCAAAAAGGTTTTTAAAGCAACATAGACGAATTATTATATAAAAACAAAGTAAATATTAAAATTAAAAACGCCCTATACTAATCTAAGGTCTAAGAATTGAAATACGACTATTCTATACATGTATCATAGTCTTTACTTGCGATATCGTCGTCAGCTGTACAAGTGTGTCTCGTCTTTACCTGAAAAAAATAGAAGTAGCACATGACTTAGCATTTTAAGAAATACTCACTACTATTGAGGTCAGGGAATGCAAACACATGCAACCCATGATTGAGGACCTATCTTTAAAACCATGATAGAGTTGACCTCCAATCTGGACAAAATTGGATGTGTAGTACTTCCCTACCCACTACCCACATGTGTGAACATGAGTCTCTAGACGGTTAACACCCCGCAGGCCCATCATAGTCGAGTTAATTCTCCATAGCCAGACGTCCTGAGGTCAGCAAACTCTCGAATATCATGTAAGACATGATGAAGACGATCATCAACATAGCGTACATGTTCGTACTCATAATCATAAATGAGGAAGTAACCCCATGTAAATGAACACACACTATGCATGAGGTCCCTATAGTTTTCATGTTAAATCATTCTTATGACACAACCCTATACATCATTTACATATTACTTTAGGCAACATTCATGCATTGACCTTTATACATTCATCATCATTACCATCATTTAGGATTGTGGCTTAGAAAACTCTTCATCATAATACATCATGGCATTTCGTACATGCACATCATCTTAATATGAAATATCATCATGTTATCGTGCATCATCATCATCATCATGTCACTATATCATATAACATCATCATATTATCATCGTCATCATATCATCATAATATAACATCACATCATATAGCTCACATCATCATTATATTATATTATATTAGTATAAATGACATGTGCAAGGGACACTGAGCACGTGTTGTCAACCGAGCCGATAGTAAGACAACGTACATTGATGACTTTAGCAAACGTTTTCCCTAAACTCTAGTATGCTAGAATTTCGTCCCTCAAATTGTTCCCAAGTATCGTTGAGGT